CTATCCAGTTCTGTCCTATTTACTCAGTACTTTACTTTTATAGAGAAGTTGAGTAGTTCGTGCACAATCGATATCCATTTTTCACAACACTGGTTCATAAAGTAAAGGAGGCCAATGACGAGGAAAAGAGTGCGAAAAGTACTGTTCAGATATCGGAACATTTTAATAAATTACCATGGGAAGAGCGATTGACCGTTTTCACGCATCCCATAATCGGTAAAGCTTTGACAGCTTTTGATGATGACGAAAAAGCCAACACAGCAAAAGCGAATCAAGAGTTCAGAACTGCTTTAGAGGTGAGTTAATATTATGTTTATTTCCAAAAACTCTCATTTGAAAATATTCTAGAACATCTTAAAGTTAGGTCTGGAACCAACTAGGTAAGATCTTTAACTTCGGGTGCACTACAGATCTAGCCCATACGGCTAACAATAATGAAAAATTCATGTAATCAGTAGTTGATTACATATTCTCAATTTTTAAGGCAGCGCGTGACTCAATGATATCTAAGCTGAAGCAGATGCCGGCCCCAGAGATTGAATTTGATGTGAGTTAGCTTTATTTATGTCTTTCGGTAACTGGTACCCTTATGAGATCCACTTTTAGAAATTCGGTAATCTGAAGTCTGACAACTTCGAAATGATGGTTAGAAACGATCTCAACATGCTTAAACGGCAAACCTATGGCATTCAAGGAGATGTTGTTACGCGTCATGATGAATTTGACGATGAGATGGAAGACGACGCTTAGTTGGCGGTTTTAACTTTGCTCTTTACCTTCATAATTCACGTTGTGCATTATTTTCCACTACATTAACGCTGCCGTGATGCATATGGCACGCGCGCGGTGATCGATATTGGGGGGGGGGGGGGGGGGTGGCATCATGTCAAATTAAACGCGTCTGAGGCGCTTCAACTTGTCTCTCCGACTTCACTACTTCTTGTAATCGCCTGTTACACCCTAAAACTCCTTTAGCACGTTCAAAATCCTTGCCTGACACAACATACCCTCGGCATCGGCCGTCGCGCAAGTAGCTCACGCGTCGCTGCAGTGGCGGTGGGATGGGGACCGTGATTCTTTATCCTTATTTGCACACCGTTTACTATAGGACAGCTTTGCCAGTGCATTTATACTTTTGTAATTAATCACAATAAACCCATTATCTGCACCTCTCCCGTGATTTGCTAGACTGTGCTCATCTGAACTGCTAATTTGTAACCTAGAGGACATGAAATAACTGCAAAACATAACTCTCGGCTGCTTGGAGGTAAACATTCGGCAATAAAGATGAAGCAGTCGATATCCATATCTTACTAGGGCAGCTTTGATGCTAGACGCACTCTTGTAATGTTATGCAGAGATCTCAAAAACCGGTTACTTAAATTCACGCTCGTAATAATGTCCGGTCTTTTCCTCTCCCTTAATGTATATTATGATCTTCGTTGGAATTGTTTGGTTGAGGTTGTTTTTGGTTATTGTTCTCAAATAAAGACTTTTATTTTTTCAACATAGATTTTTATCCTCCGTAAAAACACCTTGTAAGATTTTTCAGCGCAATCGAAAATAAAACAAATGCACTGTTGAAAGCGAAGCCGTGTGAAAATGAGTTGAAAATGATAGGTTTACTGAATTGCTGTACCAAGCTTTACTGCTGGAAGGCTTTCTTCACAACTAATGGAAACCTTTTAAATGAAAACTGTGATACCGATGAAAAAAAAACTAGGACTGGGAAGAAGTTTCGACGCAATCTTATTGACAGCAATCTTGCACACCGTTCCTGTAAGCGGCCCGATTTCTATAAGGTATTGGGAATCACACAAACAAAAAGAATGCACATAAACGCATATGTACACACGAGATATTAAAAAGGACAGTTTACTGGAACATACATTAGGTGAAATGAGAGGCAGGACGTTCACCGAGCCGCTCATTGTGTGGCGCGGGACAACAGTTCCACTAGAGGACACCGCGCGCGGCTGCGGAATTCTGGCACCGCGATTTTGAAGGAGATTCTTGGCAGTTTACCCACCGCTAGAAGCAGGTCGACCAGTCAGTAATGAGATAGGCCGATTTTATGACTAGACACAGGTCTCCCTTCGAACGAAATGCAGACAATTCCTAAGGAAAAGAACTCACGTACTGCTTTAGCAACTAGATAGGCTGCAGCTTACGAATCTCGAACGCTGAAGGAGTCGCTCCTCATCGGAGGCAATCAGAAATGATGTGTTTCTTCAACTTCGAAAATGCGTAGGTAAATTTGAAGTAAAGGAAATGGCGGTGAGCCACCAGGTATAACTCGTACATTTCAAAAAGGAGCTACTGGAAAGCCCTGGGAGACTCGTCCACGAATGCAAAATCCAGTTCGAACAATATCTTTTATTCAAAATTCTCAGAACTCAAAACGAAAAATGAATAAAACGGTACAAATCTGTTACAAAAAAGAACAATGATCAATCAGTCATTTCAATTAACCAGTTGGTAATCAATATTAATAGTAAACATTGCATACACACATTGCGTGCATATTTACGTATAAAAACATGCAATAAGATCGGTAAACAACAATATCAATAAGATCTATCGATGAAAAAAACGAACCTGTAGTAGTTCAAAATAATACGAGCAAAATTTCGTATACGAAAATACATTGGGTCACCTGTTGTTAAAACCGGATTTATGAATTTCGACTTCATGATCCAAATGTTACGACATTTATGCGACGTTGGACAAAAGGGTAAAGCTATGCATTTGTGGTACGATTTACTGCATATATACTCGGAAAGCGTACGGCCAGCGTCGGCGCCGCCCAAACAAGCTCCCTGGCTGCTAGGGAACGCGTTCGACCGCGACGCGGTCCTCCCCGATTAACTGAGATGTTGTGTTTCGAATTGACCGATCGACTATCGACTAGTTAGTCCCTCAAACTTAAACCGATAAAGCCAAAAACAAAGAATACACGGCATCGACTACATTCATATTACACAACAAATGCAGTCAGCAACCGCCGCTTGGCGGCGCTTTGCGATCGATACGTATGTTTTGCAGGGACGACCGGCTGCACGACAACTGAGTATAGACTCAGTAACAACAGTGGCATTGTTTGTTGGGTAATTACAGAATTATTTTATTTAGTACCCAGTAGTTGCTGTTCATTTTCAACGAAATGATCTGGTCTTCCAGACATAGAAAATCTGCAACTTTCCTAAGACCCTGTTAGATCGTTTAGACCACACTAGCTTCATCAAAGGGAAGGTCATATAAGAAAAAAGGATAGTTAGGACTGACTGCATTAAAATATGGTCATGGGCTATTATCAACCGAAGGTTTGGCCAAAGGCGCTCGAAACTAGCAAAGAACATGGTAGCGAGTTCATACTGTCGCGCGAAGAAATCCGAAAAACGTTCTGTAGCTGCAGACGATTCTATCAAACCTACGGCACAAGCGCATCATTCCAATGAAAATGAACAACAAAAAGTTGCACCGAAATGCTGGCTTCGCACAAAGAGATCCGTTCCTAAGCTCTTAATAATAGACTGCTGATATGTAATAAAATTTTGTGATCGCTAAATGAATAAAAATCAGATAGTTGCCAAATTGCACTATTATATTAAAGCCTAGGAAATAAGTTGCTCTGATATCTGTTCCACACCTGCTATTTTCGGAAATGATGGCACAGATTTTGGTCGATATGCTTATATGCGGTGATATGAATTTGATTGAAGCAAAGTGCTGATAAAAGTCACAAAAGCAAGCTATAAGACGTGATAAGAGTGATTGGATAAAACTAGAACCATTTCATTACAAAAAAGGCAAGCGTACAGAAATGTCGCTTGCATCATAAAGCACAGCTTACTCAGTGTTTATAGTCATATGTGAAACACGCCGCCCAAGCTCCGTGCGGTCGCGTCGCGACGGATTGGTTCATCGCGCCGCGACCGCACGCTTTCAAAGCGATTTGCCACATCGGACTCGATTAAATTTGGGCAGTCGTACATGTGAAGAGATTACTAGGTGCTTTACCTGAGAGATATGCTTGTTAAAGCCGCTTAGTCACAGTCGATGACTGCTGGCTATGCAGGCATTCCTAAGCATGCGTCGCCTGTCACGAGCGGAAAGGCGTCGATCAATAACTTGAGAGGAAATACCTCAATATCCAGGGGTCATCGGCTCTACTAAGGAATGAAACATTTGATGTAACATCAAGATTGCTGCTTTGAAATGTATGGCTATATGGTTTAACGAAATAGAATTACCGTATGCCCGAAGTACTGTAGCTAAGGACAAGAATATTCCAGATCAGGTCCAAAATTCCGATTGTACAAGTGTGATGCAAGACGAAATTATCAAGAATTACTCATAAAAAGCGATTTCTACTTGACGCTCAGTATTGATATGAAGTCAGTGGGGTTTGTATCCAGAAATGATATGTTGCCATCATTGACCGTTATCGATTTGTAGTTATAGCTGATATGTAGTAGCATCAATAGGCATGTGTAAGAGGTGCAAAGTGTGAAGTACTCGGATGAAGTAATGGCTGTTGTGGTTGAACAGTGTCAGTGCTTCGAAGCGGAGTCCTCGGTACCTAAAATCGATCGAAATTGATTTTTTACAAACCTTCAAAGAAGTGTAGGGCACTCGGGCATTGTTTTAAGGAGTCCTTCTCCTGATGTGTGTTCATATTTCTTAGCAGTTCCTCCGAAGACTTGTGTTGCAATCTATGTACACAGAAGCTGTGTTTCATAGGTCGCGCTTAGTGGTTTGACGCGACGCAACCGCGCGCGTCCTTTTCTGCTAAACTATTCCTGTTCAAATAACAATGTAATGTCATTGATCCGCTAAAATGGCCCCAGTTCCTACCCAAAAAAACCAATGGATCAAGCATCCAGTCGCTATCTATGGCCAGCAAACTGGCTGATTCTATTCTGGACAATGACTGTATTACCCTGCTGAACCAAAATCAATGAATCCTGGTATCTAAGGCTCCTGAAGTCATTCAGCTTCTCGACCGTTTTCTAAGTAAGCTACCTTTGCTGTCTAAGGACGTAGTGG